TTTTTTTCAAATTCTCTCAGATATCTAAGCATCCGCCAATCTCATTCTAAGTGAGTACGAAAAAATAGGAAAAATGTTTTACTGGAATTTGGTTATCTCTCTTGATAATTAACTGCCTCAAATTCTCTAGGAGATACTGAGTGCATTACTCTTTACTCACCCTCGTTCGGGGAGCGGCCCTGCCTTTTCCACTCTCCAATGTCACACGGCGCACGTGCGTCACTTCCAATCCAGTATGCGGCAACTTTAATTATTCGCAAAGTAGAAAAGCTTCACTTGCAGTTGGAATAAAGCTCAGCGCAAGTTGAATACAATGCAAAAAATTTCCATCTCTCTGATATTTACTTATTTTTACTGTCCATGGTCATGGCTGCCAGCAGCTCAATGGAAGTCGTGTTATGACGAACGCACTCACTCTGTACCCACAACGAGCCATCAACCACACGGAATTTATCATCAGCATTTGTGACACACCGGTTGAGGGTGAATGCAACTCTTCATTAGAGGTACTTCTTCATAAATATTTATGTATATAAATACATATATAAATGGGTGTTGGTTGAAGCTTAGCGTATCCATTGACAAGTTATTATTCATGACAATATGCAGCGAACGAATCAGCATCACTGGCAGGTAGAGTGGCAGCGTCCGAATTATGCTCCGATCGGAGTACATCTACTCCTATTTCTGCGCCGATTTTTTTAACATTGATATTCGGATTTTCAGTTACTACACTTTCGAAGAACTAAATATAGCTTGACGTTTTGCCAATTTAGTGGATCTAGCGACTTAACCTTTTGCTTCTCACATTTTAAGCGCCATAAATCAAACTTTAAATTTGAGCACAAAATTTTTAATTATGCCTTATACGTATTATGTGTTTCATAAAAAAAAAATGTATTTCAGTACGAAATTTTCTATTAAATCCGATTTCTATCCGACTTTGGTGTAAATGAAATGTATACATACTCTTATACTTACCCTTAGAGCTCAGCCCAGTGTCACAGAGTCCAAAACTACAAAGAACATAGAAATAAAGAAGTCAAACACCCCATTTCTCTTCTGCTTTCCTTTTATTTCTCGTGGCAACCCTGCCATCCATTATATAAGCTCTCTTGCCATGAGCTTTTTGCTTACAAACTAAAACATACGTTTAGGCTGAATACACTTCGCTCACGTTCATCAAAAGTGTATTAACTCAAAAATTTTCATTTTTGAATTTATAAAATTTTGTTGTATTTTTTTTGCAAAACACCAGCTTCACTATATGATTAGCATAAGCTCAACAACGCTATTTTGAGTTTTCTGACAAAGGGAAAATTTTCATTTTTTGAGAGAGTACTATTCGTCTATTACGTTCCGTAATATTGCGAACCCCTCGAAAATTTTTGCTTGCAAAGCTGGTCTAAGGACAACTGCCGGACATATGACTCACCACTCTTAATAATTTGCCCTGAAATCATTTAATCATTTGGATCAAACCTGGAATGAATCGATTGATTGAGGAGTGTTTTTGAACCAAATTAATGCCTTAGCCCGCGATGACGGTGATTTTTAGAAATTTGTAATAGCTCAAGTGGTTTACGGGTGTTTTGGAAATATACCTACATATATGCCAACATTGATCAGCTATTGCATCAGTCGCTCACTGATGATCTTGGGTCACATCATTCATTCCTCCCTCAAAAAGTTTCATATGCATTTGTATCTTTCTGCTCTGACTTATTGCAGTAAAAATTTTGAAAGCTCTTGCTACACTCTAACAAGTTCCTGTAAATAGCCTTCCAGTTCCGTATCCCGCTTACACAATTCGTTGTATGGCACACTTCGTGGCCTGCCGTCGTTTTCACTTACCTGGTTGAAAACCATTTTAAACAAAAGATGCGTTGTGTTTTTGATAATTTTCCACAAATCGTTCTGGGGAACGAAAAACGACACCAAAGATGGCACAACGCCAAAACCGGTTTGTCTTCAAACCAAATTTGACAAGAGATGACGGAAAATCGTTCCACATTACATCTTATTTACATACTTACCACACTCTGCAACAATTCAAATCAAAGACCTTTTCTTAATTTGATACTTCTTCTTTTACGTCGACTGACGTTTTTTATTTATTTATTATTGTTATTTTGTATAATATTTCTTACTATGTACTCATTATTCAGTTCAACCGGACCGACTTATCTTAATTATTTGTGACCGAATTTACTTGTTTCAAACACTAAGACAGAGTTTCTAATTTATTTAATGAATAGAAAATATTATCTGGAATATAATCAAAAAAAAAATATCAAGCAAAAACTTTAATGGAATTATATTTGCATCTAAGACGTCTAGTCTTTTAAATACATAAAAAAAATGCTTTTATTTAGACGGTAGTTATTTAAAAAATCTCAAATCTAAAATTAAATAAAAGCCCCAAAATCGTTGGATGGCGAAACACAATTTGTTGGGTGAAAAAAAAACAAGTGTTTTTTTTCTGTTTTTAATTTTCAACCGTAAAAATTAATTTTATTTTAAAAGCGTACTATTTACAAAAGGTAACTAAATTAATTAAATATAGAAAATGGCGGCTTGTGCGTTGGATGCGTAAACCACGACCACCGCACACTACAACTGTCCGTCCATCCGTCCTCGCGTCTCGCTTGACTCTATGTTTAGCCAAATTTTGTAGGCATACTTAAGTAATTATGTACGTGGACTTGCTAAGAGACGCATTCTGTATTTTCCGTATTTCAATGCTTTATCATTTGTGACGTGCGTGACACTTTACGCAAAATACATTTGTTAGGAAACAATAATTACAGTTATAGGTCATGTATGTATGTATGCATGAATGTTAATATTTAGGATTTGCAAATTTTTTTATTGTATTACATTAGTGTGTGTTTATGTGTAAATATGTAGGTTTCAGTATTTTGTGTATACATATGTAGGGTCTAGCTTCATTTGGAGCTTTTACTTCTTTTTGTTTTGTTTTTTTTTTTTTTTTTTGTCTACTATTCCTCTCTCGTCCTTTCCTAGCTAGTTGGGTGGGGCAAAACGTTTAGATTCTCAAACTTCTTCACAAATACTAATACGGGCTAGTACGCTTATACATATTTATGTATGTTCTAATGTCTGTTTGTAGTTAGGTTATATATGTATGTAGATCCAATTGCGGATATTCAGCGAAAACAAAAACTCGATTTAACATTGGGAAAGGGCTTTTCGCTATTGAAAAGGACCACTCCTCCTTCATTGTTTTCGGTCGCTCTCTCTCTCTATCGACTTAATTTTTGCGATTTCGGTGTTGTTTTTGTTGTTTGTGTTGCTTTTGTTGCGACTGATGCTGCTGCTGCTGTTGTTGCTGTTGCTGTTGCTGTTGATGTTGGTTATGATGGTGGTGGTGATGGTGTGACGTCGACTGGCAGTGCGCGTGCTTGCAGCTGTCCGCGCTGCGCAGCACCTCAGCATACGACATCTCCAGATTCTTCAATTGATTGAGTTCCATGGACAGAAAGCTTGGCCGATATTCTAGATTACTTAAATCCAATTCACGAGCCCGCAGCGTGGACTGAGTGGCGGCGGCGGCGGCGGCGGCAGGCGAATTCAAGCTCCGATTGTAAATGACCATCGAGCTGCCGTTCCATTCGTAGCGTGCGCGTGAGGAGCGTGGCTGTTCGGCGCCGGTGCTCGCCAGTGGCGATTGCACATAGGGGCGCACATCGCGTCGTTTCTTGCCACTGGCGACGAAAAAGCGCGGCGGCGATGGCAGCGTGGCTGGCGACTCGGAGCGATCACCGCTAAAGTTGCGGTTCTTGCGACGGTTCTTCTTCTTTATACCCACGCCAACTGACAGGTATTCGAGCGGCTCACGCTTAAGTGGTGTCAGAACGCGGCCATTTTCGACAATTGGCGAGTTGGCGCCAACAACCAGTGTGGTGATGGAGGTGCCCACATGCATGGGTGGCTGATTCTCTTGATTCTTCTCGATGATGTGCTTCTTGGCGGTCTTACGCTCCAACTTTGTTATGCACTCGGACATGGCGAACGATTGTTCGGAAACCGCAGACGAAATGACGCTCTGTGCATCGTCAGCGAAATCGATTGGCAGCTCTTCATTGGCAGGCGTCACTGGCGGCACCTTGGCGACGTTGCTAGCGCTAACTGCTACGGGCTCCGAGTCGTCGAGCAAAGGCAATTTCTCACCCTCTTCCTTATTAGTGGCCGCCTTCTTCAAAACAGCAAATATCTCTTTGAATAGTTCCTTATACTCCGGTCGATTGCGGAAATGCGATTCAATGGGACTGGCGTCATCATAAATGCTGAACTTGCACACCTCGCCATCGCCGATGGTGCACAAGAATGACCCAGGCCGATTCTCTGTCTGCGTGCACTTGTTGCTCGTTTCGTCGGCATAGCCAGAAGATGAAGTCTCCGCCTCTGAGTACTCAGTGGGTGTGCGACCACGCATGTCCTTTGTGCTGTTCATAGTTGCTTTGCCAGTGCTTTCGTTAGCGCAGATTTGCGCACCTGAATCGTCGCCATTTGGCACACTGCCATTGGAGCTGTAACCGCCCACAGCGCCACCGCTGTCATCGGCTACAGCCTCATCCGCAACGTACGATGGCGTATGAGAAGACTTTTGTGACTGACTAAACTCGCCGGATGACTGAAACTCGTCGGCCAATGACATGCCATCACCACCACTGCCACTGCCGCCACCCGAGCCAATGCCAACGCCACCTGTAGTGTTATTTTTGCGTGCAATAGCGGAGCATTGCACCTCGAGGAGAGCTTCGTATTTCTCCACAAGCTCGCGATACGGATTGGGACTGCCAGGAATGTTCAAATCCAAAGTGTCGTTAATGCGAGAAGAGACCTGAAAAACGGTGTTGGACAAACGGGGTTGTGATATAGTTAATAGGCAGCCTTGGCATTACAGGTAAGTAACTTTGAAAATTTTTTTTTTGGTACTAAACAAGCATTTTTTTATTTTCGTGAAGAAAAGTTAAGGAAAAGTGGAAAGCGTTTATGAGGAAATACGTATGCGGGTAGGAGTAAAATTTGAGTAAATAATAGCACGGTTGCATATGCAGAATCACAGTCTCAACAATAGCAACAACAAACAATACAAATTAACAAATAATAACAGATACTTGGAAGAACAGATTATTTAGGAGCTGCATGCACAAGTAAGAATAAACAAAAAAGCGATAAATGAGTTACCCCAAAAAATTTTAAAATTTTATAAAATTTATTTAGGTACACTTAAGGGGCCAAACGGCTAGAAAATAGTTCTGCGTTTTAGTTAGCGATTTCTCTCGAAAACTTCACGACGTAGAAATAAAAAAATATAAATTATGAATTTAAAATGTTTTTTTTTAATAAAATTATCACAAAACCGTTCCAATAGTTAAATTAAAAATAAATTTTACATGTTTTATTTATAACAAACGTTTCAATACTTATTTCAAAAAAAGAACAGAAATTCAGAACACAAGACCCGTACTGTGTGGAGAGTTAAAGGCTTAGGGCCGTTTTCTCAACTAGATTTTAAAATTTAGCTGCCCTTCAAATATATTTTTTTAGTAGAACCAGATTTGTGTTTAAAGGGTAAATAAATTTTAAAACCTAATTGAGAAAGGGACGCTTAAAGAAGTAAAACTGAATAAGGGTTAAAAGTGTATGTATGTATGTGTATGTGTTTATATGTATTAACCCAAATTAAATGTTTGACCCAAATATGGTTGTTATTTTTTCATGCAATTATCAATGTTAATGTCGCCTTTTTCATAGTAGGATTAGCTTTATATGGAACTCTTGTAATATGAACAGTTAGAAATGTTTGAAGTGTTTTTAGGAACTCGCCGAGGCTTAGCAGCCTTTTAGCTGTGTAAATGTGTGGCATAAATTTGCGAGGACTTTGGCAAGAATTGCAATCGCAGCATCACTCAGCAGAAGCTGACAAATGAACCTACCCAGACTTAACAGCATTCGGTAGACATTAGCGGCTGTTAATAACGGCCCCATTTTCTATGTACTATTTTTTTAAGGACAATGTAATGAAGGTGGTAAGGTATTAGTTCAACGGTGGAAAGTAGACATGTGTGGTCTTGCGTTCTCGCTGTCTTCTTACTTAACTAATAGCAACAAAAATAAATACATATGTATGTAGATACATAATTTAATTTCTCATTATAAATTACATGTGTACTTGTACATATGCATGTATGTATGTATGTATGCAATGGGCCAATTAAACATGGGATTGATATTTCTGTTTAATTTTCAGTAATTTTCTTACAATTTACAACTAAAACTATGGCGGGCGCTACACTACAAGAAACGACTCTTGGCACTATTGAATTTTTCGTGGTGGTTCCAGTAAGTGTTTTTTTTTTTTCACCGATTGTTTGCTGGGCACATGCGCACATTCTCATAAATGGAATGTTTGTATGTAAATAAGTAAATTGTGTAAGTACTTGTACAGTTTTCTTGCAAAAAGGAATAGTTTTTCAAATCGGCTTGAACATTACTATGATTAAATATTTAGTAAATTATTTTAGTTAATACGAAAAGTTAGGAAACATCGGCAATTATTAACAGTATTCACTTAGACTAACCGCCAAGCGGTAACTTTTAACAAACTTAAATTAAATTGGCTTAATTACAATTTTAAATTCTATATTTTAGTTACATATATCAAGAGTATATATGTATATGTATAAGGGTGGTCCTTAAAAATATCAATATCGTAGAGTACTCCTTTATTTTTCTCTACGTACAAAATAAAGACATCCAAGAAAATTTACAAATTTTTAATTTGGACAGCTATAAATCAGCAAGTTTATAATTTTTTCGATTTTTACAAAATTGAAAATTTTTTTAAACCATCCTAGCGACCTCAGAAAAGTTGTTTAAAAATTTTTAATTGCCTTGCATATCTTTATTTTGTAGGTAGAAAAAAATGCAGGCGTGTCCAATGCAAAATTTAAATGTTGATATTGTTAAGGACCACCCTAATTGGTATGTATGTATGTACAGGAAGTCGATTTCATTTCTTAAATTCGTCGCATGATTTCGTATACACATATGCTAGTATGTAAGTTTGTCTGTAAAGTAGGTATGTAGTTGTTTTGTAATGTTTGCCTTCATTCTGATTTTTTATTTTTTATTTTTTTTATGTGTATTGTACGTAGCTGCTTGATGCTCCGCATTTCAAAATGTCAATGCGAAGTCTTCATCATCTGGTATGGAACTAATCAGACGGCAAATGAATAAGGCGGGCCATTGCAGACATTTCGCAATCCAACATAAAATATTGAATTTTCTCATAGTCTTCTGCCAATGTTTCAGAAATATTGTATCTAATGAGTTTGACAACTGATCTTGCAGGTACATTTTGTTGGCATTTGAGCTGCAAATCGGACAAACCGTCGTTTTGTCAGCCTTGAATTAGAAATCAAAGAAAACAAAAAAACCAAAATAGAAAAACAACAAAAAACAGCCGAAAACACAGAAATAGAAATATTAAAAAAAAAAATAACAGTGTTTCATTTTCTTATGGTGTAAAAGTGTTGGTGAAACATACGCACACACATGTTAACAAAAAAAAAAAAAAAATGGTTCGAAAAAATAAACAAATATGTAGTTAAATTAATGCCGCCCAGTAGTACATTAGATGAAGTATGTATGTAAAAAGGGTTTGTGCAAATAAAGCCTGCGCAAACTCACACAAAATCAGGGGATTAAACAATTAAAATATGAAAAATTAGCACAACACACATGTACATACACATACATATACACACTTAAATAAATATAGATACATGTTTTGAAAAACACAGAGCAAAACAGTAAAACACAAATTCGGTACCAGAAAGGAAAACAAAGAGTAAGTAACTAAATGATTAATGCTACGTTCACACAAAATTGGAAATTATTTAATTTAAGACCCACTTGCGATTAATGGGGCAAGTACCGATGGCAACCGAACTTCAGTTGCGTTGCCAGTGGCTGAAATGGCAACTGGTTGCCGCGTAATTTTTTGTTGTAAAAACTTTTGAACAAAGCATTGCCTCCGCACTCAAAAGTTACAAAGGTAACGACCTTACAGCAGGGTTAATAAGAACACATACATATACTTTACCTTACCTTACCGCGGCGTGTGAAACGGCTAATAAGAGAAGCTTTAACTTTTATGAACTTAATATTTTAGTGTAATTTTTTCCATTTAAATAAATTTTAAAGCTTTTATTTATATATAAAAAAAAAATCTTTCTTATGTTAAAAACTTGTTTATTTTTTTTTTTTAAATTGTTAAGTTCTTGAAATACATGGGTCACTAAAAAAATAAAAAATAAATGTCTCGTTCAAAATGGTCTTATTGGTTTTCAAAATATTCTTCAGCATGATTTATAAACTTTTGCATATGCTCAAACCTATTGGTAAAGCATTTTTCTCACACTGAAGTCGGTACCCCAAAAATATGGTTTTCGAATGCTTTAACAGCTTCCTCTGGTGATAAAAATCAAAGCCGCGAAGTTTGTCGTTGACGTACGGAACAAAAATACATTACATTAGCTACCAAATAAGGACTTTACGGCAGATTATCTTTCGATTCCATATTTTGAGTGCTTAAAAAATCATTTCTTGGACGAGGAGTATGAGGACTCGAATTTGCTTGACCAAAGACCATTCGTCGTTTTTCTTTGTTTTTCCTCCATTCGTCCAAACCCAAACATTTGTTTAGAAGTGCTTGTTCTGCGAACAAATTTTTTATTTTTTTTTTCTTATTTTGAAAGATGAGTGGAGGAACATTTTTTGGGCAATTGCCACATGATGTGGAGTGTAAATTCTTAGGGCTTCTCCAATCTCACTATACTACATAACACGACGATCTTCCATTATCGTCCTGCGATGTTTGTCAGCGAGCGAAAAACGACCACGCCGAATGCAGAACACTGGCCCTTGCACGTGTTTCATCACCAAAAATTCAAAAAAAGATAAACGATGCACTGTTGCTGTGTTAATCTATTTCGAATGTTATAAACTATCATCGCACGAAAACGTTTTTTTTTTTTACATATTCAGTTTTTCTTCTACTTGAGACTTTGAAGTAACTGTAAGCAACACAAAGATCACTCGTACTTTAAAACGTTCTGAGCATGTTAATGTTTAAAACTGTCAAATTTTACAACGCAAAGGTCAGATCGACTCAACTTACATTGGTTTTGAACATTCTATAGACTATTTTAGTGACCCTCGTAAACAAATATATTAGATTAAAACATTCTTTTCCTAAATTAAAAAAAAAAAAACTTCTATCAAAAATTGGAAAAAATAACATTAAAATATTTTTAAATAACCCCTAAACCGTAAAAAGATTAAAAATTCATATTTGAGCTTTAGAGTGAAGCCAAGGATTTTCTTACATCTAAAAGTTATTAAACCATTTTTTTTCTTAGAATTACTATAAATTATTATTTTTAATGAATCAAAAAATTCAAATTTAATGCGGATGTAATCATAAAAGTGTGAACGTAGCATTACAGGGTATTTAGAGCGCCATATTAAGTTTTTAATTACATGCATCGGTATGAATGTAAGATTATACGAAATTATGCAAACAATGAATAGAAGAGAGTGATGAATCGATTGCTTATTTCAAACTAAATATCATTTTATTCATATAAAAATTGTAAATGTTTTGCATTTGATGACAATGAATGAATCGACTACAAACTAAAAACATATGTATGCAATCATGTAAAACTAAGTTATGTATGTATATAAAAATAATACCATTAGTAGCATCTCAGGTTGATAAATAGCACAGTTTTCAGAAAAATAAGAGTGGACTGCCTGTCCGTGTGTGTATAAGTTAAAAAATAATTTGCTCTTAACAAATTTGGCAAGAAAGTGTTACACTTAGAGTATTATCGAAAAATTCCAATTAAATTAATTAAAAAAAAAAAAATCAAGAAAGTTTGTTTTTTTTATTTTAATAATTTTGCCTTCTTGTTCCGCTATTTTTCTAGGAAGCACAGAAAAAACACAGCTATGAAAAGCGGCGTTGATGTTGTCGCGGTTTGGTGACAAAAAAAAAAATAAAAATATGAAAATTGCACTTGATGTATTTAAGTAGTTGGCAAAGGGTTGAGGGCAATTTAGGGCACTTTGTATGTTGGTAAATGATTGTGTGTGTGTATGTGAATTAGTGAAAGTTGTGCGTTTATTGTTTAAACATTTGAATTTGAAAACAGTTTTTTTTGTTTTTTGTGTTGTAGCTAACAAAACTATTAATGCGACACAATTTTGCACAGCGCTTGCGCAGCATCAACCTCAGCCTCACCACCATCAAATGCATCAATGCAAGTGTCATAAGCCGCGCATTATGTCAAAGAGTAGATTCTTGAAATAGAAACAATTTCTCACCTTAATCGATACACCCGGACGATAGGCGGCCTGTGAGCATTCGCTGGCATTATCGAGCAAACTTTGCTCCTCATCCTCGTGGTACTCTTCCGTGGGGGCCAACGATGACTGCTCGTCGCCGATGGTGCCGCGCTCCTCAACCACGCGCAAGCAACGGCTGCACATTTTACCTTGCCTGTAAAATGAAGTCGAGAAAGCAAATAATTTAATACACAAAAAATATAAACAAAATGTGTAGTCGCGCACTAACCGCACTTCATCCAATATGGACAGCTCCTCCTGCATGGAGCGCATTTCCTCATTTGGACTGTTGTTCGCCAAGCGGCTCTGCAACGTCTGATTCTCTTGTACTGCAAAGGGCGCGTAAAATGAACGAAAATAATTTAGAAAAAAAAGTTTTAATTACTTATGGCCATCAGTTGCTCCTCCAACTCAGTGCAACGCTGCTGCTCGGCCACGAAAGCCTTCTTCGTCATCTCCAAATCGGTGACGAGCTTAATAATCTCCTCGCTGTCCTCAGCGCCGCACACCAAATCGCTCAGAGCCAACGAATTGTTTTGGCTGTGGCTGTGGCTGTGGCTGGTGCCGATGCTGGTCGAGTTGACTTTACTGTCCAGCGACGCTGCGGAGGCGAAAGCAAAACTGCAGCTCTCAGGCGCAGTGGTGTTGGCTTCGAAACCCAGCTACAAAACGGTTCACCCACATTATAAGTAAGTACATATAAGCAACGGCACATGCAAATTTGAAAAAAAAAAACAGCTTACCACTTCCCCACTGCTGCCATCACCATTGCTTGTTGCATTTGCCTCTTCGGCTGCGACACCATTCCGCGCTCCATTGCTTCTGTTCAGCTCGTTGGCCGCACCCGCGGCATTGCGTTTCTCATTGGCACTGCTGAGGCGCTCGTTTTTTCGCCGCTCCATGGAGAGCACTTGCCGCAGCTCTTCCAACTGCTTGTTGAGCTCATCTTGACGCGCCTCAAGCGTTTCGATGTTTTGCACAAGTCTGTGGAAAATATGAAAGATTAAAAGAAAAATTTTTGCGCAAGTAAATGCCGGCGCTACTATCTAACGATAATTGACTGCCAACTTACGTCTTTATATGCTTCTTGTCGGATGTGTTCTCGGCGGTCAGCCGCTGGTTGGCGCGCTCCAAATCCTGTATGCCAATGTCCAGTTGCTCGTACACCTTCAGGCGCGTATCGTTGACCTCGCGCAGTGCGTTTGTGTGTTTCTTCAAGTACTGCGTGTTTAAAACAAAAGAACAAAAACAACAAAAATAGCAACAATTACAAATCGATTCCGAAAATTTAAATTTAATTGATTTAAGAGGCGCGATTCGGGAATGCGGTTGGCTATTTTTGCACCTCGGCGCTGCGCAATTTGGCGCGAGAGTGCGGAAGTCGCCACCACGAACCCCTGCAGCAGCAGCAGCCGCGCCTTCAAAGCGTGTTCACGCGCACTTGACGTGCTGCTTCGCGGCCCGGCAGCTGCGGCATGCCACAGGCGTTCGTGCGTTAAATGGGTCAGTTGCACTTTTTCTTTGATTTGCTTTTGGCATTCGATATGTAAGAGCTAAAGCAAATAATTAAAACAAATAAAAACATTTGTACATTTGTAATCCAAATGTGGCGGGTAACAACAACAACAAAACCAGCACTTACATTGGCCAAAGCAAGAAACGAAAACTATGTACACTCAATTGTTAAGTGGAAATATTTTGTGAATTTGTTGAGCAAAGACTTTTCTTTCCACACGAGTGCCGCTGGCAAACCTCTACCAGGTATATACACACAAATGCAAGCACAAACAAGCGGTAAATATATATTGACAAGAAATCGAAAAAGTTTCGTGTCTGGTGAAATTTAGTGTAACTGTTAAAAAAAGCAGCAAACCCCAACGGCAGCACCTCCAGCATCTTTCGCGTCAACTGTGGCAAAATAACCACACAAATCCACCGACGAAATGCTGGAAAGCAGTTACGCCTGATTGAGTTGCAACATTTGCTGCTATCGGCACTGCAATAGACTGCTGGAAGAACGCCTCAGCAGCTGCAACGTCTGTTGCTTGCAATATTTGGGCCGCTGACGCTTCTGGAACTGTGCCAAGGCGACTTAATGAAGCGAAACCCTCTCACGCGGCGTATTTAGAGCAGCGCGACACTTACAACTGTACATACATATGTACCTATGTATATAAATACTTGCATTTATACGAATGCATTTACGTCTATGTATTTTTATATTTTTGTCTGTAGGCTCAGCCGTCAAACCGCAAAGCTGCAATTTTGGAGTCTTCAATTTCCTATGCAATGCGACACTGCTTCTAGGCGTGCGATCCAGTTAAGCACTGAAGTCTGACGGCTTCCGACCCAAATGTGATTTAATTAAATTCCGAAGACTTTAACTGGCAAATCGATTTTATTTATGTTCTAAATAGTGTGTGCATTTTTAAGACAATGCATTATTAGTACTTTGTTTTTTTTCAATTACCAAAGTGGAATGGTGTGGAAGTAATAAACTTAAAACTTCGAGGCCAAGAGGTATGACGCTGCCGAATAGCAAATGGTTTTAGGCCCACCTTTAAAAAGTAAACTCATTTAATACATATCTACATTAGGGTGGTCCTTAAATGCCGGAAGCAAATTTTAACATTAGATTTCCTAAGCCTCAACCCCGACGTCGATGCTATTATAGTTGAAGGTATCACAGATAAATTTTTTAAGGCGTGGCGCACAAGGGTCAAAATTCAGATTAGCCTATGAAGACGTCTTAAATAAATAGGGTAGAATAGGGCTTGTAATGAATGTTAACGAGTTTTCTAAACTAAAAAAAAATTGCAAAGAAAAACACATTAAAATGAAAACATATTTATTTATTTTTATAGTATTTCCTTTATCTTTAAGGCTCGCATGCCATGGAAAATTAAAACATAATTATGTATTGCAGTTTTTAATTCCCAATAATACATTTTTTTATTATCAAAACGAATGGCATAGATAAAATTTCCAACTAACGCCTTTTCCCAACTAAATATTAAAAAAAAAGCAGTGCCATATACCGCATAATTGGCCACAATGGCACAAACTTATAAACAAACAAACAAACAAATAAAAAATCCCACAAGAAAAGCTAGGAAATTACTAGTCCTGATAACTAGCACTGGAATGCGGTTGACCAAGTGCAATTTGCAACTGTGGACTGGCGGCTAACTGGCGCATGCATAGAATTTGCTGTTACCAGCGGCCATAATGCAGCAACAAAACACAGGAGCCCGCTGCTGCTTTCAAGCACTCAAATGCATACTGTATGTAAATATGTATTTATTTATGCATGTTGTCTTTAACATCATGCTCCAACAACAACAACAGCAAAATAATTGTAAGTAAATACATACAAGCCAATAATTGGTTCAACGATATGGCGTACACACATACATACAAACTTCCAAAGATAAAAAGCACTTGTGCACACTCCTGACCATTTGTATGAACAACCCGCAATTGGTTGGTAGCACAAGTCAACGACGCACCAAAGCGGCAGCACTGTCCAGCAAACAGGCAGTTGTGCGCGAACAGGAAAGGATTTGAGTGTAGCGGCCCGGTTGGTGGCCAATGCTTTTTGATTGCTGAACGCCTGTGGCCACTGCGCCATAATGCGACATGCTGTTTGTGCCAACGCAGTAGATCGTTGAGTTAAATACAAACAAAAAAAAAAAAAAAAAAAACATAACAGCAAATGCATACACCAACTTACCACAATTTCCTGTTGTTGCTCATCGATTGTGCCCTTCAGCTCCTTGACCAACGTCTCCAGCTCTTTGTTGCGCTCGAGCAACGTCTTGCCCAGCTCCGCGGCAAGTTGTAAATCTGCAAAGATAAAGAGCAAAAAGGAAAAAATAATAAAAAATTAATATGAATTGTCATGTAGTGTATTCTTAAAAGTAGATAAAAATATACTCGTTTGTGAATTAACTAAACAGTAAGAAGCAAAAAGCAATGAGGCGAAAAACAGCGAACTGTTTTATCAAAACAAATACAACAAAAACAAATTCCAAATTTATGAGCTTAATTTATTTGGTGCATCGCGTACTGGCAGGTAATAAATACCACAGCCGTGGAAGGGAATTGCAAATGCGCAAAAATCCCACCAGCTGCCCGTATCACCCGTGATGCCACGCCCATCCATGCTCGTTATTTTTCACACTACATACAGCCACACTCCACCGTCAATTATTGCCTCGCAGTCCCCTAAAAATATACACACACACACACACAGGCTGCTATGATATTTTGCTCCGTCCGTTCAAAAGTCGCCAAATGTCAGCAGCACTTCGCAATACATTCCACTCATTTTTTCGTAAATGCATTCATGCAGGAATTCCCATTGACCTAAATCCGCAAACAAAAAAGCTGAAGTTGAAAAATGTGGCTGCGGTGTGCCACAGACTGGCTGGCCTTTTCCATCGACCACATACATATAAATTCATTTTGCTCGATGCTTAAAATGAATCTCTCTCACTCATGCAGGTTAATTGAGTTTGTGTTATTTTAATTAAATTTGGCGGGGGTGGTGGAATGCATTGCCCACTATTCAAAGATATTATTTACAAGTATATACATATGTATGTATATATGTATTAACATTTTTTCAAAAGTTCAAATTATTAGATTGGAGACGTTGAGTGGCTATAGTTGCAGATAAATATGCTTGCAGGCTGTGTGAAAGTGGAACAATGCACGCATGCGTCTTATAAAATTATCGAAAAATTGTGTGGTCTAAGAAGAGATCTTTGCTGCTACAGTCAGAAACTGAACCTTTCTAATAAATGATACATTAACGGACGAGCCTAACCGACTTCGCCTTGACCCGAAATATGTTCAACGTTCTAGAAAAAAAACGATCTATCAAGCTAAAGTAATGCAATTTTAAGCAACAAAATCGCCATTGGCGTTGGTCTACCGGTGCGGTTGGAGGCTTTCGGCGAGGAGCTAGTGAAGCGCAGTTATCATCTGCTAAATATATACCTGAGCATTGCAGTCTCAGTGTAACTTGACCTATTCGTAATAAGACAAAACCAGTAGTAGTCTGAAGCATATTATCAGTGGACTGTTTGAGTATTACCAGTGAGCTTTCAGACCGGAATAATCCACCATTGCGGCAACCATAACTGCAATTGGCTCCGGGCACATCCTGGGCATAGGTTGTAATGCTATTAAGGAGGTGGTCAGAAAGGGAGAAACGCAGTTAGGAATCTTAACTTATATAGCTCAGTAGGAGTTCGACAGGCGAAGAGTTTACTGGTACTATTTAGCATGAAGGGATTCCAACTTTTTATCAGCCTCCCAAAAAGGTAAACTTAGAATGGTAACAGGCAGAAGACTTGAGAGAAGTCTAGGCTGGAGAGCATATTTAGAATTTTAATATCTTTCTTAGAATATTTAAGTGTCATATTAGACACCAAGCTGAGCTGAAAGACAAATGTCTAGAGGCGCATAGAGAAAGCTAACACAGCTAGTTGCATATGGAAGAGAATATTCCGTAGGAACTGGGGATTGAAGCTAAAGCTTGCCTTCTGGATGTACAAGTCTATCATATGCTTATATGAATGGTGCTTAGTTTGATGGCCAGCTTTAGATAAACAAGACAGCATCCGGAAATGAAGCAGTCGATATACAAGGAGCAGTTTGAGCAGATGCCACGGGAGCAATTAAGTCGTGCCCTTCTGATACGCTTAATGTCATCCTGCATTAGCTGCCCATAGAATTCGACATCCGCGAAAATACGTACTCGGCAATCAGACTCAAAGTTTCAGGCAGCCGGAGAGCGCTGCACCACAGTCATAGCGGTATTCTTCGCATGCTTATCGATAGACTTCTCTTCTTCATCTTATTTGGCGCTGTAACCGTTTCTTTTCTGTGCCGACTGGCGCCAATTGGAAATGCCAAGTGACGCCAAGTCATTCTCCACCTGGTCTTTCCATCCTGGCCTTCCTCTTCCTCTGCAACCACCAAATAGACTACTATATATAAAAGTAACTTCAATGATAGATTTCAGGTGAAGTTTCCTTCTAGACGAGATCGGAATAGGATAGTCAAGGAGAATTCCACTGAAATGTACCAATGATGGGTCCAAGGTCCACTGCTGTGGGCTGTTCTCTCTTATTCCGACTACCAAACCTTGCTAGCATCTTCCACGCGGGAGTGCTGGAAATTCGATAGCATAAAAAAAATGCAAAGGAGTAGGAAGAGCATTCGGCTATCTGAGGAAAGCCAAACGACACTTCTGGCACTTATGTACCTCACTGGCCACAAAGTCTAAAATAGTCAGAGATTGTAAATGCACGTAAGGCTTATACACGTTGGAACGACTTTGAACCGCAAAGCCAGAACAGCTTTTATAAAGTCCCGGGAAAGGTATAGTCAGGTTAACACCCACGATAAAGGGATATTGGCTCATTGGCGAACATGCGCCAAAATGGGCCTTCCTTACTACCCTCAGCGCCTTATCTGCAATCTAGCGGAAAGTAAGGAAACGGCCCTACAATATATTTACGAGTGCCCAGGATTGGCACGCATAAGGCATGACAAACCGTCTCCAAATGATTCATTACTAGCTTAAATAGATTCATCGAAAAGTCCAGGTAGTTTGACGAAACTGACGAATTATGATAACAGATACTATCAGGTATTCCAGAAAAAGCGTATCAAAATAGCTTCTACCTACCAATCAGCGAACCAGCATAGGCTTACATAGTTATATATGTACAAGTATATTTCTCCATTGTGTACAACGTATTCGGCTGTAAGTGTGAAATTTGTTGGCATTTTCTTTAAATTTAATGATCCTTTCGAATTGTTAAAATACATTTCTTTGAAAATGTTGGCAACATCATTGAAGATTGTAGCAAATTAAGTAAATATTGTAGTCACATAAGTTCCCTGAGGTGTGCCTAAACTTATCAATCACCTTTTAAATACGATTTCATCAACAAGTAACACTTCAGCCATACCAAATTTAAATGTCTACAGCAAATTTCCCAAACATAAGTTACAATCAAAAAGCTTAAGCTGCAACTCATTAACTACTTATACAACCCACCCATCGGCGCTGTGTTTTTCAACAGCTATTAATAAAAATTAATCAAGCGTTGTTCGTACAATTTTTTAAATTTAGTAAATAAATTTTCAAAAATAACGCAAAAAACAAATTAGCACTAAATTTGGTAATTTACTTCCAGCTTATTTTAATTGCAATATTTTAACCTGTGCAACATCACTTGCAACTAACGACTGAATGCAACATCAATTTAAATTGTATGCGCACACACACACGCGGGCTTCCATACATATATATGTATGTGTATGTGTGTAAATGTTGCTGCCTTGCAGTTGATTACAAGAAATTACCGAAAACAGACAGCTGACAGGTGACCACCGACCGTCCGACCGGCAGGCAAGCAGCGACCAACAATTATCTTCCGCAGCACTACGGCACTCATACGAGTCTTGCCACTTAATTGCGTGCGCGCATGGCCATCGCTTATTTGTGGATATTAACGAGACATAATTGCAACAAAACTGCTCGCAAAGCGTAGTAAACCGAAAAATTAAATGAATACGAAAAAAATAAAAAATAAAATAAATATCGAAATAATAAACGTGCAGGTGGAGGCACGCGTGTTTGTATTTACATACGAGTATATGTAGGTACATACATATGTAAGTGGCAGCATAATATAGCCAATCAACTGTAGGGGACCTAGTGGAGGCTAAGAAAAACCGCATAATTTTAAAAATTAATGATTGTTTTTTTCTTGTTACAGTCGAAATGTGTTGCAATAATGCGTATGCGTTTTTGTATTATTTTTAATTGAATCGTCATCAAAGCATGAATGTTCATTTACATAAATGCACATGCACATTAGGGTGGTACGCAAAAATAACAGCATCTAAATTTGTATGCGGCAGCGCTGTATTTGGATGAAGACATACAAAAATTTCAAAATTTTAAATCAATTTTTAAAAAAATTAAAATTTTTTAAATCGAAAATTTTTTTACAAAAAAATTTGATATATCATTTGACATATCATCTAACTCGCTGAGTAATGGCTGGTAAAAGTAAAAAATTTGTCGAAATTTCGCGATTTATGCAAAAAAAAAATCTTTCAACTCCTGGTAGCGACTGCTGATTTTTTTTCTTTTTTTATTTTCGTGGCAATCTCTCGCTGATGTTTATATTTTTAAGAACCACCCTAATGAACACACAGTTTTCAACAATACAATGCGATATTTTGATCAGTTTTGACTTTTTTTCATTTGTTTCTTTCATGTTTATTATTTTTTTTATAATAGTAAAGTTCATTATCTACTAAAAACCACATAAATTCAGATTTCAAACTTGGTGCAAAAATTTTAAAAATTCAAAAAATGATAAAAAAAATTTTCTAGGCATTTTCATCCATATAAAAAAAAATGTCGACCATTTTTTTTTTATTGATGAAAATGCGTGACACCATCAACAAAAAAAAAATTGCCAAAAATCAATAGCGTTTTGTAACCACTTGAAACGTTGGTGCGCTATAAAACTGCATACAAATAATTTTCCAAAAAAATTTTCGCACAAAGTTTGAAATTCGAACTAACATGGTGTTCTTTTGATAACGAGCTATTCTTTCTTAAAAAAATTACAAACATTAAACAGACAAAAGCAAAATAGTTCAAATTGGTCAAAATATGACACTGCTATTAGTATGAAGAAGTCGCTCATCGTTTAGCCCAAATTTACACAAAATATATGCCGCACATTATTGCCACCTTCGCGTATAAAAAAAAAAGTAATAACTAAGTGTGTGTGCGAAACAAGTAC